TAGATATCAATTGCAATTGCAGTAAAAAGCGAAATTAAAATTAAACCTTTAATAAAAAGTATATTTAAAACCTTTCATTCTGTTCAATATTTAAATTTAACTTTAAATGAATTATTTATTATAATTTTTAATTGCATGTAACAACAGTAGTTACTACTTGTTACTTCAGGTTGCATATGATTTACCAAGATTGAAGAACAGACAGATGGATGGACACACATACACTGCGCTTTATTATTATAGAAAGATTAATTGGAAGAAAAAGCCTTCGGTTGAACTTTAGACTAGTAAAAAATAATAATGCTGTAAATAATTGATGAATATTAATACTTCTATTGTTCTCATGATTAGTGTTTTAAGGAATGCAAACAGGCCATTGAGCAAGAGTGCATATTACACATGAATTGCTGTGTTTATTCAACATACGTGTGTAAATCCTGAGATTGAAAACAGACAGACACACATACACTGCACTTTATTTATATAGATAGAAGAAGAAGATTAATTTGAAGAAAAAGCCTTCGGCCAAAATTTATGCTAGTAGAAAATAATAATGCTGTAAATAATTGATGAATGTTAACACTTGTATTGTTCTTGTGATTAGTGTTTGAATGAATGCAAACAGGCCAGTGAACGTGAGAGCATATAAGGCATGAGCTGCCGTGTTTGACACGCATGTGTAAATCCTGAGATTGAAAAATGGACAGACAGACACACATACACTGCCTTTTATTTATATAGATAGAAGAAGAAAGAAGATTAATTTAAAGAAAAAGCCTTTGGGCAAACTTTATGCTAGTAAAAAATAATAATGCTGTAAATAACTGATGAATATTAATACTTGTATTGTTCTTGTGATTAGCATTTAAATGAATGTGAATAGGCCAGTGAGCAAAGTGTGCATATTATGCATGAACCGCTGTGTTCATTCAACACACATGTGTAGATTCCGAGATCAAAGAACAGACGGACACACATACACTGTGCTTTATTTATATATATTTGGTGTTGCTTCAATTATTTTTTCATTACCATTTCACAAATTTTGTTTCCAGCTTTTCAGTGAGGAAAAATGAAGATTAACAAAAAAAAAAAAAAAACGAAAAATAAACAGTAAAATTTTAAACTATTTGATATTTTTTCTATGCATGATTTTTAATTCACTTGATCTGCAAAATAGCTTACTTTAATGGCCTTATTTCTTTAATCTTTGCACTGCATGACACAATTGATTTATTTTTTGTTCAATGTTTTTTATATTATAGATAGGTTTATTTGCAGCCTTTTGTGATTTGTGTGCCTTTTTTGATAACCAAATGGAGTTTATAAAGAAAAGATATAATAAAAAATATAACTGTGTCCTACAGTAAAATTACCCTAAATATATATTTTTTTTTTATTAAAGTACATTCTTGCTATTAAAAACTGGATAATTAAGAACTGTATTTGTGTTTTGCTTAATCTTATTTTTCACCAACATTTAATATTTCTTACTTTTTTCTTAATCCATGTTTAAAACAAATATGTAAATATGTTGTTATTGGGTAGTCCTTAGGGTCCTGCAATAGCTAACATTTTTGTAAGGTTTTATGAGCAGGTTTTACTTGCTCATATTGAAAATCCTCAGTGTTATTACCAATATGTCGATAGCACTTTTCCTGTCTTCAACAATGAAGAGTAGTCTGAGGTGTTCCATTAATTATTGAAATATGTAAATCTTTACACAATGATGGCTCAAATTAATTCTAGGGAGATCAGAGTTTATTTAATTGATACTATTTTGGATTTGGTAGTATTATCAATATGTATTTTACAGACCAGACCATCATTGAAAATACCACTATCACTGTATGTACAAAGTTCAATGACAATTTCACCAGTAAAACACTGTTAACACAATTCAAATTTTTGGTCACATGTCTCTATCAGAGCATATGGAGATTTACCAAATCAAAATCGTACAATCATTTAACATAGTTCAAATATTAACATGTTGATTTATATGTTTATAATGTAAATCTAATAGAAGGATTTCTACAGCATTGAAAAATAATGGTTGGTAACTTGACAGTAAAATAGATAAAAATATATCATAAATTCAAAAAATCTTATTTTTTGCTCAGATGCTACAAAGTGAAAATTTTGGTATGTTAATCTATATAAATTATGCTTTCCATGGTAAACATCATGGTAACATCAGAATTTATTCTCAATTCAAACATTCATACCAATTGGTACCTTTTGAAAGAGTGTACTTATGAAATTAACTTAACCAGTTTCAGCTGGGATTTGAACCCTGTTCTATTTTCTGTACTGCTAACCATTTGGTCATCTCTGTCTCCTTATCTACATTAACTGCCATGTAAATCTAAAATTTCATAACATTTGAATGAAAGAAAACAACACAGCAACATCAAGGGAGAGACTATCCATATGTATTGATTGCAATTGTGACTCACTTCTATGTGCAACTATAACAGATACTATGCTGGGCTACCATCAGCAGCTGAAACACAGATCCATGGTCTCTTGAGACCAAGGGATGCCACATATATATGTTGAAATATAGTTTTAAGGTATGCTATATTTATGGGTTAAAGTGCTCAATATCAGGGTCAGAGTGTATGTAAATATAAAAGTGAACATTAAAGTCAACACCAAGAAATGGCAGTCAGCTTAAGCACAATCATCATCCTGATGTTTCATGTTGTCCTGACGATTACATTTAAGCATGAAAAACAGTCTGTTTCCTCTGAGTGTTGACTTCAATGTCCACTTTTATATTGACATACACTCTGACCCTGATATTGAGCACTTTAACCCATAAATATAGCATACCTTAAAACTGTATTTTAACATATATGAATAAGTCTGCAGCCTAATGATGGAAAACATTTATTTTATCCAACAAATATTTACTTTTGAACATAATCTCAATGCATTTTGTCAATGCATTTAATTCAGTGGTGAATTATTAATCACATAGATTGAACATTATACAGTGAAAATTTTAGATCAAAATCCAACAAATGAACAGATGTCAGGCTATGAAATTAATGATGTGCCCTTATACACCTAAAAATAGCATTGGGAGATTAAAAAATATTTAGCTTACAATTTACATTGTCACCTCAGTTAATCACAAGTATTTACATTATAATTTGCTAATTTTCTTTGTAAAAATGTTTTTTTTAAATTTCATATTAGGTTTTGTTTTTGAAACTAAAAAGTAGTTTGTTTTTATATCATAATTGAAAAGCCTATCCTTTCTTAACTCTTTTTATATATATTTTGCTTAACTTCATATTCTCCAATTACAGTTAATCATCTTAGTTTTTAAGATTTCAATTAACCATTTTTAAATTGAACATTTAATAAGGGGCTTTTTGTTAATAAAAGTTTCACTTACATGCATTAAAAAATATTCTTTAATTTTGATTATGTAAATATTTCCATTATCAAAATTAAAGAATAAATAATTTAAACTTATATATTCAGTAAATCAAGAAAATTTCAAATTAATTATCTGGTTGAGGTCAATCAGATGTCACTTGAATTCTTTTTGCTTTATTGAATAATATAGCTCTAGTTATGTTAAATGCATTTTTAGTTCTGCTAGCCTGAAAAATATGTTAAATTATTGTAATTTTCATGTATTTTTTAGTTGTATTATTATAATTATTATTATTATTATCATGCTTATAGTTAGTCAATGCTAATTAATATATAAAAGTTCACTAAAAGTGCTCAATACTGTGAAGAGCATAAATAAACAAAAATTATTAAATATAAATACCTTAACAGCTGAGGTTTCACCCTGCTAAGTTATCAACCATATAATAATCATCAATGTGTATTTATATATTTTCTGTCCCATCTGTAGTGGGAAGGAAGGTAAATCAACATAAATTTATGTGTGATTACTTCATTTAGTCATTTTAATAATCTATACAAATAAAATATTTATCTGTATTTAGACAAAATTGATTCCCAAACAAAAAGAACCATTTAATCAGTTCCTTTTCTTCTACATTTCTTAGACTGCAGTTTTATTTGTTCAAGCTTTTCATATGAGGGACTCAGATACCTTTTGTTTATTAAGTGTTTGTCTTGCTTCAACTTGGTCTTGAAATAGGCTTTGACATCACCATCTTTGTTGTTCTGTTACTAAACTTTTTCTTCCAAGAGATATTTCCATTTCACTACTCTATAAAACACATCAAATTTTTAACATGAAAAGATATTGAGCAAAAGGGATTTATCTAATAACAGGAGTAATCAATGAATCATTGATGTCATTAAATTTCTAAAAAATATAAAGGGAACAGATTAATTAAATGCTTCATTGACCTCCATTTTAGTTGTGAATTCTTTATCTCCATCTTATTGAATCTCAATAAAATTGTTTCAAGATTTTTGTTTCTTTGCATCTCACTATTAAAACTTTCTAACAATTGCCATCATTTTTGATGACATGGATTCACTAGCATTTTTATAATTATATAAAAATATAACTTAGCTTGACAATCCCCAACCAGAAGGGTGAAACTTAAGTTGCTAAGGTATTTGCATTTTATAAATGTTATGTTATATATTCATATCCCCACCCATCTCTCATGTATTGTACATGTATATGGTATTATGCCAAAGTTAAGGGAATTTGATCATGAAAATAGTCACTTACTCAAACACCTAATTCCTTTTCTGCTGTTTTTATATTCTGGTTTATAAAGGGCACTTCTTGCTATTCAATTTGTGTACACTATTCAAATCCTTTAAATTTTGTAAGTGGCATTATGCACACAATTTATGTAAAAAAATATAAAATGTTTACATCAAATTGACTATAATTCTAATTAATATAATGCAACCATAATAAAAAAAAAAAATAAAATAAACATAACAATTTCTGTAATATTTATAACTCATTGCAAAAACATCAAAATTCTTTTAATAAATTTTGTCTTTTTTTTTCTTTTTTTATTCTCTCCCCCCAACAGTCTGATGCTGGTTATGCCCATCTGAAGAAACCAGACACAGTGCCCGAGTGGCTGAACTGCCTCGGTCTTTCCGAATACACGAATACCTTCATCATCAATGGTTGGGACTCAATCTCTTACCTCGGATATCTGACCAACGATGATCTGGTTAATATGCAAATCAGAAACCCAAAGCACCGGGATCGTCTTCTGCGAAGCTTGCAAGATATGAACCTTAAATTTACCGGCTGATATAAGAAAGAGACAAAAGAAGAAAAAGCTTTCAGAAAGTTATAAAAACATTTTTGACAAAACAGAAAACAAAAAAGAAAGCAAAAAAAAAAAAAACCCTGAAAAAAAACAAATGTATTAAAAGAAATTAAATGCAAGAAGAAAAGATTAAAGTGGAAGTAAAAACTTGAAAAGAAGGAAAAAATCCTTATAAGAAAAGACAAAGAATGAAGAAAAGCAAAATGGAAGCTTGGAAACCAAGATATCAGTAAATTACAATATTGTATTATTCATATCTGTATACAGACACACACAGACACACATTCTTGAATATGCACACACATACACACTCACATAGGGATGTTTGTATATATGGATGTGTATACACACACACACAAACACACACATATATATATACATACATACACACACACACCTTCACCCTCTCTCTTTTTATTTGATTCTTTTAATTTTTTCTCCTCCTCCTCCTCTACCCAATATTTCCAGTATTTGTTTCGGCCATTATTTCATTAATTACAGGCCTAAAATGCTTCCTGATATACATTTGGCATTTATATGTGTATGTTTTTGTATCTACAGATATATATGCATTTGTATATGCATATGTATATATGTATAGATGATCTTCATTTACGTATCTGTGTGTGTGTACGGTATATTATTGTCAACAATCAGGGTGGCCAAAAAATGTCTTCAAAACATCATTGCAAAAAATCTAATTTAGAACATGCAAAATTAATTGTTTTATACACTCTCTTCCCCACCCCCAAAATATGGAAATTGTCTAGCATTTATCATAATACTTTATACAGAATTTTGTTAACTTTTATAAACATGGATAATTTTATAGTCTTCTTTTGTGCGACTTTTATCAGTTAATACATAAATCAATTCTATGGATATTTACACATGCCCAGTATAAACTAACATATACTGTTTATTCATAATTGGGCATATATTGGTAAATATATTCAGGAAGGAAAAATGCTCAATATTGGAAATAGTGCATGTAGGTATGAATAGTCGGCAAAGAAATCAACACTGCATGGTAACTGGCAGTTTCACATTATAACTGATCTTCGGACTATTTGATGACAAGGTGTAAAACTGCTAGACACCATACAAAGTTGATTTCTATATCTGCACAATTTATACCTATATATATATATATATATATATATATATATATATATATATATAATTAGTCTGCTTGTAAGTATAGTAATATAAGTTTTACATGTAATAATTATATAAGTTTCCCTCTTATATAGTTGTTTACTTTTATCACAGATGAAATTATTTCAAATGAACTGAGATTGAAACACTTGCTGTAAAATAGAATAAAAAGAATTTTATATATATATATATATATATATATATATATATATTCAAACAGGTTAAATAATTTAGACATACTATGTCTGTTTATTTTTGTTTTAATCCTTTCAAGTTCACAAATCAATTTCTTGGTAGCCATAGAAAACTGATTAAGAAAAATACCAAAATTTTCTTTCAAATATTTTTATTTTTCCAAGTACTTTCAGTTTCATCTGAGACTGTCTTCAGAAGTTAAATTGTTTGTGTATGTGTATAAAAAGAAAAACTTGTGAATTTAAAATTGATATAGAATGATAAAAAAAACAGTAAAATTAACAGTAAGAATGTTTTGAATTTACAGAAATACGTATACACCTATACAAACAATTTAACCCACTGAAAATGGTCTCAGATGAGACTGAAAGTACTTAGGAAAATAAAAATTATTTGTAAGAAAATTTTGGTATTTTTCTTAATCAGTTTTCTACGGCTACCAAGAAATTGATTTGTGGACTTGAAATGATTAAAACAAAAATAAACAGACATAGTATGTCTAAATTATTTAACCAAACCTGTTTGAATGAAAATATGCTGCCTAAATACACACAGACACACACACATTATATATATATATATATATATATAGTTCTAAGTTAGGTTATATTCATGGGTAAAATTGCTCAATATCACCATATGTAAATATAAAAGTGAACACTGAGGTCAACACTAAGAGGTGACAATCTGTTTCATGCTTTATATATATATATATATATATATATATATATATATATATATACATGCACACACAAAGGTAGAGAAAATTTAAATTATGTTCAAAACATTTATATTCGCATTGGAAGATATATATGTACACCCCCCCCTCTACAAGATTTTAATTCATAAAATTGTTACATGCCTGCAAGCACTTACAGAATAAATATATATATATATATATATATATATATATATATATATATATATATATATTCAAACACATCAATATATTCTACACTGTTTAGTTAAAAGTACCCATTTACACACAAACATATCCATATACAATGATAAATACACACACACACACACGTGTATCAGTTTTTGAAATAATTGAATTATATATTCATGTAAAAATTCACTAAAACTAATTTTTTGAAGTTAGGGTTTTAAGAATAAACTTAGTAACCATGTTAAAAGATATATCCTTAATCACAGTTTTGAGTAAGGTGGTTCAAAGCTTGAATCTCAAAATTTGAAAATAATCATTTTCAGCTAAAAATTATATTTAATGTTGTTCCAATGCTCAAATATTTCATATCCCCTTAGAAGGACCTTAACTCTGAAACACATTTCTGTTTCTTCCAGCTACACCAGCTTCTATTAATCAATCTGGGTATTAAAAAAAATGGTGAGACAGATTCTGTATAAACCTTTGTGTTGCTAGATAGACATGACGATATAAAGGTGATATTAAAAATGATCCCTACCATACAGATACCAGCACTTCAAAAGTGGGATGAAGTATATCCCATGATGCTTCAATGAGTTATAAGACTATAACATTTTGGCTTTTTGATTGGTTCCTTTGATGTTTTAATTTCTGGAAACAGAAGAAACTTAATTGTCTTTTCAACTGAGGATATTTTTAATTTTGTATATTTTGTTTGTTTATTTGTCACGCATGTCTTTATTCCTGTTTATACATTTATTATTATATTTTTCTTTTTAGTTTGGTGGGGATAGGAGCCTTTTTATGTATATTTTATCGACAAATTAACAATCAAATACTGCTGAATTTAAGGACCCAACTGTTAATTTACTATATCATAATAAATGTGTGTATGTATGTGTATGCATGTAATATTTATGCTTCCTCTGAGTAATGACTGCACAGACCTCAAACAAATATGATCTATGCATTACTTTAAATTCATGTATAAGAGATCTGCAAAAGTTTGGATTGCATTAGGGAAAAGTTTAAATATACAGTACAAGCATCATTTAAACAAAAAATCCTATGATGTTTTATATATATATATATATATATATATATATATATATATATATATATACACACACACACACACATACTAGTACAGGATTGGTATAGATGGAATAAAATTCTGATAACCAAAAACACTATTCTTAAAAGGGTGCTCAATATAAAGTAGAGCAAATAATTTTTTATTTAAAAATTATAACATAAGGATGTTATAACATCACTACAAAAATAACCATTTTGTTTCAATACATCTGGGGTCTTGTCAAGTGATGGTGTTGATTGCAAAATAAAGAGTTTTTTTTTTTTTTTTTTTTAATTCAAAACCAACCAAACTCCCTCAATAGGGGAAACATTGTTACGTAACCTATGACAACCAATCAGAATGCAAGTATATGATAATTCAAAAAACGTGACATCGTACCCTAAATACAAACTATTAGTGCATTAAAGTTAATGCTGGATTAAATTGGAAATCAGTATGAACTAATTTTAATTTCCTGGTAAAATTAAAAATCACAAATTTCAAATTTAACTGAGCATTAAGTTTAAAATATTACAAAATTATTCAGAAATGGAATGGGGGGGGTATATAAATATATATTTTTATTGTTCTTAGCGAAGTGACAATTTATCCATTAAATCCGATGCTAGACATTTTTCACTTCTTACATAGGCGAATTTTTGAAAAAAATTGTTTATTTTGCAATCAGCACCATCACTTGACAAGACAACGGTAGTGTTGAAACAAAATGCCTATTTTTGTAGTGATGTTATAACATGCTTATGCTATAATTTTGAATATATATATATATATATATATATATATATATATATATATATAATTGGGGACTTGTTATTTGACTTGGGAAGCCCCACTATTTTATTTCATTATTTTGCAATAATTCTGAAAAAATTTTTTAAATGCAGCTAAGGTCTATCAAAAAGTAGAGTGTGTCTGACGGAAAATTTTTCTTTTAGGTTTTCTTGAATTACTTTTTCATATTATGCCCATTAATATTGAATCCTAAAAGGCTTTGAGTGCAAACATTTTCACATCATTTAAATATTGTCTAAGTTAATAGAAGTGAAAGATGGTAGAAAAACTTTTTTCTTTTAATTTCTAAATGAAACATTTTCACTGTTCTTATCTTATTACTAGTTTTACTTCATCTTCTGATTGTTGCTTTTACAAGATAGCAAAGAAAAATTGGTGAATCAGAAAGGAGTGGCAGGATGATGACAGATTTGTATTTCTTAATCATCAATGCTTCTAGTGATTAAGACAATGTTTATGACGGGCTCTTTAGGAATGGAATGAATGTTCAAGTCTTGTCAAAAACTGTTACTTTATTTCTTATTCTGCACCATATTTGCCCCTATCTTGAAAGTGTATATCAATCCAAAATGATGGAGTAAAACTAGTAGCAATAATGAAGAATGCATCTAGCTAAGGTGTTATGATAAAAAGCAACAATAAGATAGAGTCACAACAAAAGTAATAGATATGAACCTTGTTTGACATCAGTTTTTCTACTATTTAATATTATTACAACATGACTCGTACTTCTGATTTTAAACACTTCAGAAAAGCAAAATATGTCAAAGTAAATGGTTTGTTGTTAATATTACATGATATATGAAGAACTTAAACAATAGTTTACTAAAGTAAATTATTTTAAAATTTCAA